TGGTAAGAACCCTGCTACAAGTACACTATGGTGTATGCTTTAATTTACACTTTACCTCGTGGCATTACTCTGTTGGATAGCTTAAATTTCAAACAGTATTCCCATCCAAATGACACTCGACAACAATGTAAGTGTTAAACAACGTGTCAAAAATCGGTGTACAAATAACAAAGTTAAATCGGTAAGAACCTTACTACATGTACACTACAGTGCACACTTTAGTTTACACTTTATCACGTGACATTACCTTGTTGGACTGTTTAAATTTAAACAAGTTTTCCCATCCAATTGACACTTGACAAAAATGTAAGTGTCAAACAATGTGTCAAAAATCAATGTACAAATAGTGAGGTTTATTCGGTAAAGACCTTGCTACATGTGCACTATGGTGTATGCTTTAATTTACTCTTTGCCATGTGACATTACTCTGTTGGACAACTTAAATTTCAAAAAGTTTTCCCATCCAATTGATACTTGAAAACAATGTAAATGTCAAAGAACATGTCAAAAATTAATGTACAAGTTGCAAAGTTCAATCAGTAAGAACCTTGCTACATGTATACTATGGTGTAAACACATTAGTTTACACTTTGCCACGTAAAATTACCCTACTGGATAGTATAACTTTCAAAAAGTTTTCCCATCGAATTGACACTTGATTACAATGCAAGTATCAAACAACGTGTCAAAAATCAGTGTACAATTAGCAAAGTTCTATCGGTAAGAACCTTGCGACATATATACTATGGTGTACATTTTAGTTTACATTGTCACATGACATAACCCTGTTGGTCAGTTTATATTTCAAACAGATTTCCAAACCAATTGTCACTGGACAATAATGCAAGTGTCAAACATCGTGTCAAAAATCAGTGCACAAATAACAAATTTCAATCGGTTTGCCACGTGACATTACCCTATTGGATAGTTTAAATTTCGAAAAATTTCCCAATCCAATTGACACTTGACAACAATGTAAGTGTCAAACATCGTGTCAAAAATTAGTGCACAAATAGCAATGTTCAATCGGTAAGAACCTTGCTACATATACACTATGGTGTACACTTTAGTTTACACTTTGCCACGTGACATGACCCTGTCGGACAATTTTAATTTCAAACAGTTTTTCCATCCATTGACATTTGACAACAATGGAAGTGTTAAACAATGTGTCAAAAATTAGTGCACAAATAGCATAGTTCAATTGGTAAGAAGCTTGCTACATATACACTATGGTCTACACTTTAGTTTACACTTTGCCACGAGACATTACCCTATTGGACAGTTTAAATTTCAAATAGTTTTCCCATCCAATTGACACTTGACAACAATGCAAGTGTCAAACAACGTGTCAGAAATTAGTGTACAAATAGGAAAGTTTAGTCGGTAAGAACCTTGCTACATGTATACAATGGTGTACAATTTAGTTTACACTTTGCCATGTGACATTACCCTGTTGGATAGTTTAAATTTTAAACAATTTTTCCATCCAATTGACATGTGACAACAATTCAAGTGTCATTCAGCATATCAAAAATCAGTGTACAAATAGCAAAGTTCAATCGGTAAGAACCTTGCGACATGTACGCTGTAACGCCCTGAACTTAGGGTTCAGGGGTCACGTACTAAGTATTGTAACTTCTGCCTTTGGTACATGTAAATACTCTTAAATAGAAGTATTACATGTTAAAAAACTATTTTCAATTTGGTAAAATATCTCTCATGAAATTTAATGGCCAGCAGAAGTGCATGTCGACGTGGAATTAAACTTTACAAAAAAAGGACTTGGTACTGCCACAGTTAGTTAGGGCAGCAAGTTCAACTATTTTTATAAAATTCATCCCAACTCCGATTTCTATGAAATTTATGGAATTAGAAAGATAATTTCAAGTAGTTTCCTAGGTTAAAATATGAGAATTTTCCGAGATCATATAATATGGACGTTTTACCGAAAACAGTGTAGTGTTGCACAGAAAATCCAGATTGACTCTTCAACGTTTAAAAATTCATATCTCAGGCCACGGACATCCAAATTGAGTGATTCTTGCGCCCATATTTAGAAAACTCAAAGAGAAACACAGAAATATTTTTAGATTCTCAAATGGATGTCTATAGAGTTAGAAATAATGTTTTGAAGATGACCCAGAAACTGCCCGGATTCTGTCCTTTTTTATCATTCAAGAAAAAGGTTTATAAAAACGTCTCTTAACATAACATGGAAGATATAATTACATAATTTACTTCGGGTACCATAGTAGATCATGTCTTATACAGGTTTTTATACAACACCATAAGAAGAACATTTGGAGAGCAGTAGAACAAACATGCAAAAACAAAACTTCGATGCAAAATAACCTTTGTCCTTAATCCATCATCGATTATGCTGACTGACTTCCACCAACTTCACATCTATGGATCTGAAAATTTAGTATAGGATACTATGAGTATAAAGAATACTCAGTAAGATACCATGCTTGGATTTAACATGTTAATATTACACAAAAGAATGCAATTAAACACATACTTGCACATTCCGGCTTGCCGGTGCCCTTCGGACTTGTCCTAAGGCATAGATATCTAACTTTGTGGACTTGTCCACACATTCATATTATGGTTTTTCATGCATAGCTTAGGCATAAATATTACCATGAAATCCTACCACTTAAGCAAAGAAAGTATCTTACAATAAAACTTGGAGAAACTTCGGTTGAAAAACAAGAACTTGAGAGTGTAGGCTTTGTTTTTGTTTTTCTTCCTTTCCTTTTATTTTTCTTCCTTTCTTCCTGCCGATTTTCTCTCTATCTCTCCATAAAAATTCTGACTTTGCAAAGATATATAGGCTGCTCATCTCTCGGTTATACATATATAGAAGCAAAGTGACAATAATTAACCAAAATTGGTGCCTACATCTACGCGTGGTTGCATGCATGTATTTCATAAACTTAACTCAACACCTAAGGTCAGGTTGTGCCATAATTTAACACCTCCTACCTGCTTAAACCAACACATGCATGCATGTTACTACAAAGATAGCTTGACACCTCCTACTTGTTCAACAATTAACACCCCATGCATGCATTAGTTAAATCTTACCTGAAATCTTCTCTAATCTGCCGTCCAGCTGCATTTATATATGTATATTGCATATGTGTGTATATAAAAAATGAGAGAAATGGTTTAATTTGTATTCCCACTTGTCCATGCATTAGTTAATTGCATTAATCCTCTACAAGGTGGCGGCAAAGTGATAGAAAGAAAAGGAAAATATATTAATGTAAAAGGTATAGAATTTGACAATTATTCTAAACCCCTAATTAACTAATCTTGGTAAACTTTTAATAAATCGACCAATGCAAATTTGGCAACCATTAATAATCTTGGCCATACTAAATTTTTGAAAAGTTAAATTGCTAGCCTAAAAAATAAATGAGCAAATTAAACGTGCATAAAATTTCGGAGTATTACATCCCTCCTCCCTTAAAATAAATTTCGTCCTCGAAATTACCTCTTACTTAGTTGAAAAGTTCTGGATACTTGGTCTTGATTTCCTCTTCTCTTTCCCAAGTTGATTCTTCGACATTGTGATTTCTCCATTGAACTCTCACTAACGAAATTTCTTTTGTTCTCAGTTGTTGGATTCTGCGATCCAATATTGCTACTGGTTTTTCTTCATAAGTCATGTTTTGTTTGATATCCAATGGTTGATAACTAACCACATGACTTTGATCTGGCACATATTGTCGAAGCATTGACATGTGGAACACATCATGAATTGCTGACAATTCTGGTGGTAGAGCAATTCGATAGGCTGCATTTCCAACTTTCTGCAAAATTGCAAAAGGACCTATGAATTTTGGTCGCAGTTTTCCCTTCTTTCCAAAGTGAAGAACTCCTTTCATCGGTGCCACTTTTAAGAAAACTTTATCACCAACATTAAATGTCAAATCTTTTCTCCTTTTATCAGCGTAACTTTTTTGTCGGTCCTGGGTTGCCTTGATTCTGGCTCTTATTTTATCAACCGCTTCACTAGTTTCCTCAATTATTTTGGGCCCTAAAACCCTTCATTCACCTACTTCATCCCAATAAAGAGGAGCTCTACATCTTCTACCATAGAGAGCTTCGTAAGGTGCCATCTTTATCGTAGCTTGATAGCTATTATTATAGGCAAACTCCACCAATGGTACATAACTTTCCCAACTGCCTCCTAAATCAAGGACGCAGGCACGCAGCATATCCTCCAAAGTCTATATAGTCCTCTCCGATTGTCCATCAGTTTGTGGATGAAAAGCTGTACTGAAGTTTAACTTGGTTCTCATAGCTCCTTGTAAACTTTTCCAAAATTTTGAGGTGAATCTTGGATCTCTATCCGATACAATTGAGGCTGGGATACCATGGAAATGGATGACTTCTTCGATGTATAATCGAGCGTATTGATCCATACTAAAATTCATTCTTACAGGTAGAAAATGAGCTCACTTTGTTAACCGATCCACTATAACCCACATAGGATCATTTCCCCTAGCTGATTTTGGAAAACCCATAACAAAATCCATAGTTATATGCTCCCATTTCCATTGTGGAATCGTTAATGGTTCCAACAATCCAGATGACCTTTGATGTTCAGCTTTTGCTTGTTGACAAGTCATACACCTCTTGATAAAAAGACCTATGCACTGTTTCATATTCCTCCACCAAAACATACTCCTTAGATCACGATACATTTTTGTACCTCCTGGATGGGCAGTATATGGAGTTAAGTGTGCTTCTTCAAGAATTTCTTTCCTCAATCCGTCATCTTTCGCCACACACAACCTTCCCTTAAAGAGTAAGGCTTTATCACTGCCTCATTCAAAACCCTTTCTCTTGCTAGTACCAACTTTAGACTTAATCTTTTGCAGGAAAGAGTCACCATCTTGTGCTACTCTTATTCGATCTATAAGTGTTGGTCGAATCATTAGAGCCGCTATCCTGGTGATAGTTTGGGTTGGTGGAGCAATTACTTCCAGATGTAAGTTTTCGAAATCCTTCAACAACTGGTCCTGTATGGTGATTAGCACTGCTAATTGTCCAACCGCCTTCCTGCTAAGCGCATCTGCTACTACATTAGCTTTACCAGCTAGCTCTACCCATCTCCTCTGCCTCATATTTAATTCCTTTTGGGTGAAAAAGTACTTCAAACTCTTATGATCGGTATAAATGTCACACTTACTTCCATATAAGTAATGATGCCATATCTTAAGGGCATGAACTACCGCAGCCAATTCTAGATCATGTGTTGGGTAGTTTTGTTCGTGTTGTTTCAATTGTCTGGAAGCGTAGGCTATCACCTTTCCTTTCTGCATCAGAACACACCCTATGCCTTGTTTCGAAGCATCACTGTATATAACGAATCCTTCTGGTCCGTCTGGTATTGTTAACACTGGAGCTGTGACTAATCTTCGCTTCAGCTCTTGGAAGCTCTGTTCACATTTCTCTGTCCATTGAAATTTTATCCCTTTACGAGTCAAATGGGTCAATGGTCCTGCTATTTTAGAAAATCTCTCGATAAATCTTCTATAGTAACCAGCCAATCCCAAGAAGCTGCGTATTTCTCTAACATTGGTGGGTCTTACCCAATTATTTACTGCTTCTACTTTAGCTGGGTCTACTTCAATTCCTTGGGCCATGATTACGTGCCCCAGAAAGCCTATTTTATCCAACCAGAATTCACATTTCTTGAATTTGGCATAAAGTTTCTCTTTTCTTAGAGTTTCCAAGACAATCGTGAGATGTTTCTCATGCTCCTCACTACTCTTTGAATAGATTAAGATGTTATCAATAAAAACTATGACAAATTGATCTAAGTATTCGTGAAATACTCTGTTCATTAGATCCATAAATATTGCCGGGGCATTAGTTAATCCGAAAGGCATCACTAAAAATTCATAATGCCCATAAAGCATCCTAAAAGCCGTCTTAGGGATATCGTCTGGCCTAATTTTCAATTGATGATATCCTGATCTTAGATCGATCTTTGACAATACTGTAGCCCCCTTAAGTTGGTCAAACAAATCTTCTATCCTTGAAAGTGGATATTTGTTTTTGATAGTGAGGCTATTCAATTCTCGATAGTCAATGCACAACCTCATGGTTCCATCCTTCTTTTTCACGAATAGTATAGGTGTACCCAAGGTGATACACTTGGTCTAATGAAACCCTTATCAAGAAGCTCCTTCAACTGTACCTTCAACTCTTGCAGTTCCAACGGTGCCATACGATATGGAGCCTTTGAAATAGGTGCTTATCCTGGTAGCAAATCGATGGTAAACTCTACTTACCTATCTGGTGGTACACCTAGAAGGTCTTCTGGAAAAACATCTTTATAGTGTCGAACTATTTGAACATCCTCAACTGACAACTTATCTTGTTTGATGTTGGTCATCATTACTAGAAATCTCTGACCTAATTCTTTTCTCGGCGTCCCTTCAACCTGAGTTGTTGACACTATACGAGATAAGGTCTTTGCCTCAGTTCCCACAAAATGAAACTCTTTCTCGCCCGATCTTCGAAAAACCACCATTATCTCGGTACAATGAATAGTTGCATAGTTTTTAGACAACCAGTCCATACCAAGGATAACATCAAAGTCTTTTATCGTTAATAGAATTAGATCTACTGCTATACCTCTACCATCAATTTCCATCTTAAGATTTCTGGCTATTTGGTCAGCAACAAATATCTTTCCAGATGGAAGAGAGATTTCTAAGGTATACAGAAGGGATTCACATTCTACTTTAGACTTTGCAACAAATGAAGAAGAAATGAACGAATGTGTAGCTCCAGAATCTATAAGTACAAATGCAGGCATATTGGAAACAGAGATAATACCTGCGAGGACATTAGGGTCTCGCTCTACTTCTTGCCTGGATAAGGAGAAAACTCTTGCTTTTCCTTTTGTGTCATCTCCAGCCTTCTGTGTATAATTCTGGGGACATTCTTTAACGAAATGTCTTGATTTTCCACACTTGAAACAAATATTCTTTCCCAATAAGCATTCTCCTTTGTGAGGTCTATCGCACTTAGGACAACATTTATCACTACCAACTCCAACTATCTCCGTCTTTCCTTTCTTTGGTGCATTATTCCCTTTTGCTTTACCGTTACTCTATCTATCAAAGTTTCACTTCCTCTTACCGGAGAAATTTTGAACTTGGTTAGAACTTCCAACGTTTTGAGTTCTTTGATAAGAAATAGTCTGGGCTCGCTTCAGGACTTCTCGATAAGTGCTCAGCTCGAGAACTGACACTATATCACGAATATAAGGTTGAAGCCCGCGTTCGAACCTTCTAGCCCGCTTTTCCTCCGTATCCACTAGATGTGGAGCAAACCTTGATAATCCCTCGAATTTGCGTTCATATTCCACGAGGGTCATGGTTCCCTGCTGGAGTCTAAGGAGCTCCATCTCCTTTTGATCTTTCACGGCTGTCGGGAAGAATTTCTCTTCTATGAGTTCCTTAAACCTCGCCCAAGTTATAGCATGTTCTTCAGCAGGTGTTAATGACCTAGTAGTCATGTCCCACCAATGGCTAGTCCCCTTTTTCAACATAAACACTGAGAATGTTACTTTCTCATCATCTTCGCATCCTATAAATTTAAAGATACGTTCTAGTTCTCGTAACCAGTCTTCAACTGCTAAGGGATCCATACTCCCCTCGAATGATGGAGGGTTCATTTTACGAAATTGCTCTATCATTGTAGTTCGATCCCTTGGGCTAGTTACTATTTGAAGTTGAATAGCTGGTTGGTTAGGCTCCTGATGATCAGTTGGTACTTGTTGATTCGGGGTTCGTTGCCCAGTCAAAGATGGTGGCCGTTGTTGCTGTCCCAACTCCCGCATTACGGCAAGCAGTTCTCATGCAAAGTTTGCTACATTAACTTCGCCACCACTAGAACTAGCATTAGCATTGCCACTACCTAAGTTCATATTGGGATTTGGTGCACTGCTGTGATTGCGCTTTTGAGGCATTTCCTTTGAATGAAAAAAATATTCATCCAGTTAGAATTGCTTCAGAACGTAAAGAAAGACTTTCAAAGAGAGAAAGAGAGGGAGGAAAACTATTTTTCCTAGACGTTTAAGAAGTGTTTTCAAGCATCAATTCTCTACAGTTTTCAAACATCCAAGGAGTGCATTTCTTTCAACGTCCAAATTTCATCGAAGTTTTCAATCCAAGTTTTCAAAGTTTCAAAAGCATCAATCAAGGTAGGTAGAGGTGCAATGTGTTTAATCGTGTTAAGTTATAAGTTTCGATTTATGTTAATGTTTGTATGTCAAATGGTACTCCGGTACGGTATATCCCTCTATGTTAATGTTTTTATGTCAAATGGTACTCTGGTACAGCATACTCCTCTATGTTGAAGAAATGTTCGTATGTCAAATGGTGCCCTCGGGTACAGCATACCCCTTCATGTCAAATGGTGCCTCCGAGTACGGCATGTATGAAAAGTTATAAAATTAATGTTTTGAAATGTGTGGCTTGATCACGAATGCACCTATGACACCTATTGAGTTTTTCAACTCACGGGTTTAATCCCATCTCTACAGATTGAAGGAATTTTACCTCGGGCATAGATGAAGGAGAAGATGGAGAGTGATGCAACGAGCCCATGGAAATTTGGTGAATAAGTGATTTGGATTTATTTTTATGAAATGTTTTCCAATGTTATTTCTTTAAAGTTTTGAATAACGCAGAATGCGAGAACAAGTTATGTTTTCTTCAAATAAATTACATTTTGTTGTTTTGAAAAATGATTCAGTGTTTTTGTTTATAGTATTTGAAGTATTGTTATTTAAATTATTATCCGAAGATGTAAGCTTCCGCTAAAACGTATACATTTGTTACTAAACCACCGGTTAAACTAAGTAAAGTAAATAGCGTTTCCGATCCACTAGGGGTTGGGGCATTACAAATTGACCCTGGACAACAATTAAAGTGTCAAAAAACGATGAAAGTGACATTACCCTATTGGATAGTTTAAATTTCAAAAAAATTTCCAATCTAATTGACACTTGACAATAATGTAAGTGTCAAACATCGTGTCAAAAGTCAATGCACAAATAGCAAGTTCAATCGGTAAGAACCTTGCTACATATATACTATGGTTTACACTTTAGTTTACACTTTGCCACGTGACATTACACTGTTGGATAGTTTAAATTTCAAACAGTTTTCCCATCAAATTGACACTTGACAACAATGTAAGTGTCAAACAACATATCAAAAATCAGTGCACAAATAGCAAAGTTCAATCGGTAAGAAGCTTGCTACATATACACTATGGCCTACACTTTATTTTACACTTTCCCACATGACATTACCTATTAGACAGTTTAAATTTCAAACAGTTTTCCCAACCAATTGACACTTGACAACAATGCAAGTGTCAAACAACGTGTCAAAAATCAGTGTACAAACGGCAAAGTTAAATCGAAAAGACCTTGCGATATGTAAACTATGGAGTACACTTTGTCACGTGACATTACCCTGATGGATAGTTTAAATCTAAAACAGTTTTCCCTTCCAATTGACACTTGCCAATAATGCAAGTTTCAAACAATTTGTTGAAAATCTGTGCACAAATAGTAAAGTTGAATCAATAAGAACCTTGCTGCATGTACACTATGGTCTACACTTTAGTTTACACTTTACCACATAACATTACCTTGTTGGATAGTTTAAATTTAAAATAGTTTCCCAATCGAGTTGACACTTGACATCAATACAAGTGTCAAACAACGTGTCTAAAATTAGTGTACAAATAGCTATGTTCAATCAGTAAGAACCTTACGTCATGTACACTATGGTGTACACTTTAGTTTACACTTTACCGCGTGACATTACCTTCTTGGATAGTTTAAATTTCAAACAGTTTTCTTATCCAATTGACACTAGAGAACAATTCAAGTGTCTAAGAACGTGTCAAAAATTAGGGTACAAATAGTAAAGTTCAATCGATAAAAACCTTGCGACATGTACACTATGGTGTACACTTTAGCTTACACTTTGCCACATGACATTACCCAGTTGTATAGTTTAAATATCAAACAGTTTTCCCGTCCAATTGACACTTGCCAACAATGCAAGTGTCAAACAATTTGTCGAAAATCTACGCACAAATAGTAAAGTTGAATCGATAAGAACCTTACACATGTACACTATGGTGTACACGTTAATTTACACTTTTCCACGTGATATTACCCTATTGGATGGTTTAAATTTCAAAATTTTATCCAATCCAATTGACACTTGACAACAACGTAAGTGTTAAACATTGTGTCAAAAATCAATGCACAAATAGCAAAGTTCAATCGGTAAGAACCTTGCCACATATACACTACGGTGTACACTTTAGTTTATACTTTGCCACGTGACATTACCCTATTGGATAGTTTAAATTTCAAATAGCTTTCCCATCTAATTGACACTTGACAACAATGCAAGTGTCAAACAACATGTCAAAAAATAGTGTACAATTAGAAAAGTTCAATCGGTAAGAACCTTGCTACATGTACTCTATGATGCACACACTTTAGTTTACACTTTGCCATGTGACATTACCTTCCTGGACTGCGTAAATTTCAAACAATTTTCCCATCTAATTGACATTTCACAATAGTGCACGTGTCAAACAATGTGTCAAAAATCAGTGTACGAATAGCAAGCTTCAATCGGTAAGAACCATGTTACATGTACACTATGGTGTACACACTTTAGTTTACACTTTATCACGTTACATTACCTTGCTAGACAGTTTAAATTTCAAACAGTTTTCCCATCCATTTGACACTTGACAACAATGCAAGGGTCAAAAATTAGTGTACAAATAGCAAAGTTCAATCGGTAAAAACCCTACTACAAGTACAATATGGTGTACACTTTAGTTTACACTTTGCCACGTGACATTAGCATGTTGGACAGTTTAAGTTTCAAATAGTTTTGCCATCCAACTGACACTTGACAAGAGTGCAAGTGTCAAACAACGTGTCAAAAATCAGCGTACAAGTATCAAAGTTCAATCGGTAAGAACTTTGCTACATGTACCCTATAGTGTACACTTTAGTTTACACTTTGCCACGTCACATTACCCTATTGGACAGTTTAAATTTCAAATAGTTTTCCCATCCAAGTGACACTTGACAACAATAAAAGTGTCAAACAACATGTCAAAAATTAGTGTACAAATAGCAAAGTTCAATCCATAAGAACCTTTCTACATGTACACTATGGTGTACACCTTAGTTTACACTTTACCACATGACATTACCATGTTGGACAGTTTAAGTTTCAAATTGTTTTGCCATCCAATTGACACTTGACAAGAATGCAAGTGTCAAACAACGTGAAAAAAATCGATGTACAAATAGCAAAGTTCAATCGGTAAGGACCTTGCTACATCAACGTTATGGTGTACGCTTTAATTTACACTTTACTACGTGACATTACCTTGTTAGACATCGTAAATTTCAAATGGTATTCCCATCCATTTGACACTCGATAGCAATGCAAGTGTCAAACAACGTGTCAAAATTAGTGTATAAGTAGCAAAGTTCAATCGATAAGAACCTTGATACATGTCCACCACGGTGTACATTTTAGTTTATAATGTTATGTGATATTACCCTGTTGGATAGTTTGTATTTCAAACAGTTTTCCATCCAATCGACACTTGACAACAATGCAAGTGTCAAACAACGTGTCAAAAATCAGTACACAAATATGAAAGTTCAATCGGTAAGAACCTTGCTACATATACACTGTGGTGTACACTTCAATTTACACTTTGCCACGTGACATTACCCTATTAGATAGTTTAAATTTCAAAAAATTTTCCAATCCAATTGACACTTGACAACAATGTAAGTGTCAAACATCGTGTCAAAAATCAATGCACAAATAGTAAAGTTCAATTGGTAAGAGCCTTGCTACATATACACTATGGTTTACACTTTAGTTTACACTTTGCCACGTGACATTACCCTGTTGGATAGTTTAAATTTCAAACAATTTTCCCATCCAATTGTCACTTGACAACGATGCAAGTGTCAAACAACTGTCAAAAATTAGTGCACAAATAGCAAAATTCAATCAGTAAGAACCTTGCTACATATACACTATGGTCTACACTTTAGTTTACAGTTTGCCATGTGACATTACCCTGTTGGATAGTTTAAATTTCAAACAGTTTTTCCATCCAATTGACACTGACAACAATGCAAGTGTCAAACAACGTGTCAAAAATCAGTGTACAAATAGCAAAGTTCGATCGATAAGAACCTTACAACATGTAAACTATGGGATTACACTTTGGTTTATACTTTGTCACATGACATTACCCTGATGGACAGTTTAAATCTCAAACAGTTTTCCCATCCAATTTACACTTGCCAACAATGCTGGTTTCAAACAATTTGTTGAAAATCTATGCACAAATAATAAAGTTGAATCGATAAGAACCTTGCTACATGTACACTATGGTGTATACTTTAGTTTACACTTTGCCACGTGACGTTAACTTGTTGGATAGTTTAAATTTAAAATAGTTTTCCAATCCAGTTGACACTTGACAACATTGCGAGTGTCAAACAACGTGTCTAAAATTAGTGTACAAATAACTATATTCAATCAGAAAGAATCTTGCGACATGTACACTATGGTGTACACTTTAGTTTACACTTTGCCACGAGACATTACCCTCTTGGATTGTTTAAATTTCAAACAGTTTTCCCATCCAATTGACACTTGAGAACAATTCAAGTGTCTAACAACGTGTCAAAAATTAGGGTACACATAGCAAAATTCAATCGATAAGAACCTTGCGACATGTACACTATGGTGTACA